ATACAATAAAAATGTACAATAGTTTTTTCTTTTGATTATTATTCTTGTATTTAAATTATTTTTTAACGAAGATAAATATATAAATGTTATGGATCAATAATTAGAAGAAAAACGATACGCGTTTTCGGTTCAAAATGGAGATATTTTTTTTATATGAGTGAAGTACTATTGTGATTATTGATTAAGTGTAAATGATCGAGTAATATTGAAAATAAAATTCATCTAACAAAAACATGTCTTATTTCAAATTTATTTAATGGAACGTCAAATGCGTTTAAGTGTGATAATAAATTATATACTGTGTTATAGGACTTAAGTCTATAGAACTAAATACATGTATGTTTGTTCTGTCAAAAATGGTTGTAACAAGTTTATATGACGTTTTTGATATCTTTGAAAACTTTTTACGACATTTTGAAATAAAATGTATTATAAACTTATTACAACACTTTTAAATATGATATACATTCTTTAAACTTAAGCCGTAAAAGTAATATGTTAGCTATAACACATTGAAAATTAAATAAAGTTTATTTTGGGGAAAAATGTTCATACAAGCAAACATAACTGAGAGCTGGTTACATAAATAAATAAAAACTTTATCGGAAACGATTAATTAATCGATTGATTATATATTTATATATACATATATAATAAGCAACGATTGAGTTTCGGTAAGAAAAATAGTTAAAGTGAGAAATGTAAGAAATAATTTCCACATTTACATGTTCATATTAGAATGAAATGCACCGAGATAAGATGTATAATTAAAAATACATTAAATAAATAATTATAAAGGTAAAAAATGTAAGTGTTTTAAAAATAATTCGTACATATTTTTTATATTTAATAATATAAGATCAAATCCAAAAATATGCAATGTTGGGTTCATTTTGAACGTATTGACGAAACGTTTATAGTAGTGTAATTTGTAAAAAAACACGTATTTTTTTATATATTTTAATTAATATACGATTATTTGTGTTACTATAATAATGATGTAAAAAGTAAAAAAAAAAAAAAGGGAATATAAAGGTAAACTAGACGACTAATTATAAGGGTGTAAAGTGTAAAAATAGTTTATTAAAAAACTATACATAAACTAAAGTATTTTTACACTTTACACCCTTATAATTACTTGTTTAATTTACTTTATATCGCTTACCTTTTCATTTATCATTTTGCACATTTATTATATTTACACACATAATCATATACTAATTAAAATACATAAAAAATATGTTTCATTTTTTTTATAAATTACATTATTATAATTGTCACGTCAACACATGTTCTAAATGAGCTCAATATTAAATATTTTTTGGATTTAATCTTTTGTTATTAAATATTATAAAGCTTATGAATTATTTTTAGTACTTACATTTTATACTCTTATAGTTACAAGATTATGTGTGTTAATATAATAATTAACAGTGTAAAATGGAAAAAAGAATACATTAAATAAATAATCATCAGGTAGAAAAATTAAATTTTAAAAAAAGTTTCTACGTATTTATGATATTTAATAATATAAGATCAAATCCAAAAGTATTCAATGCTGAGCTTATTTTGAATGTATTGAGGAGATGATTATGATATCGTAATTTGTAAAAAATAAATATATTTTTCATGTATTTTAGTTAATATACGATTACATGCGTTAATGTAATAAAGGTATAAACTGAAAAATGAAAAAATAAGCGATATAAAGTAAATTAGACAATTAATTAGTAAACTCGCTATTTTTACATTTTACATCCTTATTATTAGTTGTTTAATTTATTTTATATATCATACTTTTCTATTTGTCATTTTACACATTTATTATACTAACACACATAATCATATGTGAATTAAAATACATAAAAAATATGTTTCATTTTTTATAAATTACATCGCTATAATCGTCATGTCAATACATTCAAAATGAGTTCAATATTGAATACTTTCGGATTTAATCTTATATTATTAAATATTATAAAGCTTACGAATTATTCTTAGTTCTTACATTTTATACACTTATAGTTACAGATTATGTGTGCTAATATAATAAAAGTGTAAAATGAAAAAAAAAAAAAGATTAAATAAATCATCATAAGGGTAGAGAATGTAAATTTTAAAAATAACTCGTACGTATTTATGATATTTAATAATATAAAAAATTAAAAATATTCAACATTAGGTTCATTTTAAATGCATTAACAAGACAATTATAATGATGTAATTTTTAGAAAAGAAATATATTTTGTTATGTATTTTAGTTAATATACAGTTATGTGTATTAATATAATAAATGTGTAAAATAAAATGTAAAAAAATAAATAACATAAAGTAAATTAAATAACTAATTTTAAAATGTAGAATGTAAACTTTTTTAATCAATTAGAAACTTTACGAAGAAAAGGGATATTATGCATAAACTCCTGTTTCTTTCCATTGAAGTACCTTTTTAAATTATTATTATTAAAAAAAAAAAACTTTACGCAAAACCATCCTTTTGTTTAAAGTTTTTTTTTTTTTTGTAAATTTTAGTTATTTAAGAAAAATAATTTTTAAAGTGGTTAAAAAGTGAAATCAATTTTATAAAATGATTATTTGTGTAAATTTATATATATATATATATAGGGTATATTTCTTTTACAACCTTGTGTATTTGTACAACCCAATTAATTGAGATATTTATAGAAATGATTGAAGTTCATTTATTATGATTTGAATATTTATGGAATATGAATAGAGTTTATTAATTATGATTAATACTTTATACTAGGAAACAATTAATTGATTAAAAATTGAATGGTTGAGATGAAGGTTGTATAGGGTGTAGGAATGGCAAAGGGTGTAGAATAACATCCCTCTATATATATATATATATACATGTATATGTATATATACATAGGGAAAAATTCAAACGAGAACACTTTAATTTTACGAGATCGTAAGAACATTTTTTTACTATAGACAATCACATATGATATTATTATTTCATCATATATGATACACATATTCTCGTTTGATCCTGACTTATATACATATTATATATATGTATATATATATATTATATGCTTTTTGAGTTTGACTTGTCTTACCATGTTGTTTATTAAATCTTTTCTGTACTGACTTCTATTCATTACAAAGTCTCTCCCTCCATAAAAGGCCAAGTAGCAAACCCACCAAACAAATTTGTCCATTCACTCAAGGGGGGAGAGAGAGAGAGAGAGATTGTTTCTTCTTGAAGAAAAACCAACCAAGTGAGACACATAAGAGAGAGAGAGAGATGGGGAGAGCCCCTTGTTGTGACAAAGCAAGTGTGAAGAAAGGGCCATGGTCTCCTGAAGAAGATGCAAAACTCAAAGACTTCATTGAGAAATTTGGTACTGGTGGTAACTGGATTGCTCTCCCTCAAAAAGCTGGTAATTAAACCTCTCATCTCTCTCTCTCTCTCTCTCTCTAAATGTATGTATTTCTTGGAAGATCGAGACCAAAGGGTTTCTAATGGAGTTGAGCTTAATTATTAATTCAGGTCTCAAAAGATGTGGGAAGAGTTGCAGGTTGAGATGGCTAAACTATCTCAGACCCAATATCAGGCATGGTGAATTCTCTGATGATGAAGACAGGATCATCTGCAGCTTGTATGCTACAATTGGTAGCAGGTTCATTTCAACTTCATCTTGGATCTTCGTCTTTTTGCAATTTCTGTGCTCACAATACACACACACACACATATATATATATATATGTATATATACATATGACTACTCCCACTGAAATGCATATATAGATCTCTCTGCACTTTATTATTCCTCAATTATCATCTGTTTTAATTGCATGACGGTAAATACTTTTTTATGAACAAGAAACCATTAAGTCAGGTCAAACACACACACTGTTTGAAAACATCTCACCATGTGGAGACCTAATTAAGATAATAACACGTATGAGAGAGAGAGAGAGAGAGAGAGAGAAAGAAAAAGAGGGTTTGAGTTTCATAGAAAATGATTGATCAATAATCTTTTAAAAAAAGATTCTGCAACATCTTGACAACCAGGGGTGCATGCATGCCAAGATCTCATGGATCTGTAATCATGAACTGATTCTTTCTTTTTGTGCAGTTAGTTAGTTGTTAGAATTGTGTTTGTTTGATTATGGAAAGATTGATAATTGCTATGTAATTTAATGTTGAGTTTCTTTCCAAAAATGTATATGCAGATGGTCGGTAATAGCAGCTCAGCTACCGGGAAGAACTGACAATGATATCAAGAATTATTGGAACACTAAACTGAAGAAGAAGCTGTTGACTATGCTTCCCTCACTTCAAGAAAAACCAACTCTTTTTCCATCTATGCCCTTCCAACCACCATATGATGATCATCATCATCATACATCAGACCACTTCTTGACTACTTCATCATCATTCTACACCAATTATACCCCTAACTTTATGAGTGTTGACACCACTTCCAACTCTCTCCTTGTTCAAGATAATGATCATGTTAATGTTGCCAATCTCTCATCACCACCACCACCACCACCACCTGAAAACCATTTGATCAGTTTGCTGGGCAACAACACCATTGATGTTAATGAAAACTCTTATAATAGTTATCTAGGGTTTCAAGATGACCATCAGAGCATGTGCAACAGTCCAATGCAGGAATGCTACCATCCTGTATCCGCCATGAAAGAAGGCATGCTCATGTTTGGAGGTGGTGCAACTTGTTCTTCATCTGAAGGTGGGAGCTGCATGAGCCAAATCAGTCATGGGAATTACAACAAAGATCATCATCAGAAGCAGCAGTATCAGATCAAACAAGAAGACCAAATAACTCTTCAAGAACAGGTTCTTGGAGATCAAACTCAAAGCCTGCAGGGTTTCATAATCAATCAGAAGCCAAAAGAGTACATGATCAAGAACCATGTAAGTCCATTGAACAATGATCTTGAGGAAGTCAAGCAACTCAACTTCAACAGCTACATGTTCCATGATGGTGATGAAAGCAAGACAACACATTATCAGAAGGGGATGTGCTCCTATTATTACTGATCATTAGATTAATCAATTCAAAAATTTGTTGTAATTAAGTGGTAATTCAGACAAGATGATCGGGTAGGTTATGATTTTGAAAGGGCATTGAGGGTGTTTTCTGGTTCAGATGAGAGACTTTGACACAGTTTCTTGGGGTTTGTGTTGAGATCTGTACTTGATGGTGGAAATCAATGGAAAACTACTAAAAAAATGAAGTTCTTTTCTTTCCATTCATTTGTTTTATGACACTACGGGGCTGTTTGGCAGTTGCTGAATGATTTAGTGCAGAATAGTTAAGAGGTCAGAATGGTTAAAGAGGGTCAGAATGGTTAAGTGCTGAATAAAATAATGTTGTTTGGTAACTGTTCTCTGAATGACAATAAATTACCATTTTAACCCTCATCTAATAAAAACCCATTATTCGTATTCGATTCAACTTCATCCAAATCATGGGAAGCCTCATGAACACCTTCTTCTTCTTGATCTTCAAAATCATCTTTTTCATACTTAAAAACTCTGGAAAAAAAACATGGGTTCTGATTCAAACTCCCTTCAATGGCTTCCATTAATCCAACCCTAGAATCATTTAATACCCCCTTTGAAGAAGAACTGCCATGGTTAACAAAAGACGACACCATTTCCCACGCCATCAAACCGGAGACGACCCCAGAAGTCTTGTGAGGAGATCGACAGGTACACTCGATTTCTTTTTAGGGTTTAATTTTGAGAGGAAGGGAAGCGACGACGATGAATTGAACGAGGGATTTTGGTGGGTAAAGTGGGCTGTGATTTTGGTGGGTAAAGTGGGCTGTGATTTTGGTGGATAAAGTGGGCTGTGATTTTGGTGGATAAGGTGGCGACGGGATGGTGAAGGCAGATGAGAGGAGGGGAAAAGATGGTGAGAAGGTAGAAGATGGGGAGGAGGGAGATGAGTTTGTAAAAATGGGATGAGACGACGGGGAGAGCGACGGTGACCGGAGATGGCGACGGTGACCGGAGATGGCGACGGAGATGGCGATCGTGACCGGAGATGGCGACCGGAGATGGTGACCGGAGATGGCGACCGGAGATGGCGACCGGAGATGGCGATCGTGGGGGGTGGGAGGCGATGTGAAGGAATGCTGTGTAGAGAGGGCAAATCTGGAAAAGTKTAGATCTGAATGGTTGAGTGAAGGGTTTGACACAAAATGGTTAAGAGGTATATGTAACCATTAAGAGGTTTCATATTTTGTGCCAAACACTCCAAACCTCTGACCGATTAAGAGGCTCCCTCTTAATGTCACCATTAAGAGGGAAACAAACAGCCCCTACATGTTAAAAGCTATCTGTAGCTTTTCTTTCTGTGCATTTCTGTTTATTTATTGGCTGCCTCCTTAATACTCGTTTGAGCAATATCCGGTAATAAAAATATCATATTAGCTATTTTTTAAAACACTTTTAACAAGGTGCTGTTTGTTTTTCAAAAAAAAGCACTTAATTGCCTCTTATGTCTGAATCGGTCAGACATTGAGGGATTAAGTGCGTTTTTTTTTTAAATTAAGTGCTTAAAACATCTGATTTCATCTGAATTATTTAGAGGTAAAATGCAGTATGAAAACCTCTTAATCGCGTCGCTTCAAGCTCTCGCCTACCCTCCGCCATGTTCCTCTCTCTCTCCTCCCCGCTCCCCTCCTCCACCACCTCCATTTCTCTCCCTAAACCCCACCTCCACCCGCCACCACTCCGGCACCACCTCCCACCCTTTCTCCACTCCGGTGTCGGTATCGTCGATCGATCACCGTCTCCGGTTCCTAAAGCATCGGATGCACTGCCTCCTCCTTCATCTACCTCCTAGGGTTTTTCGGCATCGATTTCGTTCAATCCTTCGAGATCGAAGCTTGGGGACTGCCTTAGGGCTGCTTCGATTCGACGGCAGGCGTTGGAGAGGACGACGGGGAGGTCGTTGTTAGGGTTGCCATTGGAAGGATTCGATTACGAGTCAATTTTAGGGCAGTGTTGCGAGATGTCTAATGTTTTTCCATCTCCATCTTCAGAAATCCAAACCATTTATGGGTATTTAAACCAACCAAGCGTAAACAGGGGCTTTCAGTTCCTTAGCAGCTAGGGTTCTTCAATCTTCCCTTTTCCTTCATTGGAAATGGAAAAACATTAGGCATTGGAAACGATCATAATCAAGTTCATGATGTTAACAGTGATTCCACTTCTGATTTCCATTGTGAGCTTGGATCGTTTGAACACCAATTTCGTTTAAATGATTGGATATTTCAGTTAAATTTAATTGAAATGAATTGATTCAGATTTCAGACGTAAAAACAAACAGTCTGACTGATTCAGATTTCAGACTTCAGCACCACCTCTTAAAATTCAGAAGTGAATTCAGACTTCAGACTTCAGCACCTCTTAAAAAACAAACGCCACCTAAATGTCTTATAAACTTGTCTTTTTAAAATACTCTTATGTTTATAATACAGTTTTTCGAATAGTGTCATATAAAATAGCTAATACGTTACTTTATTTTAAAAAAGTAGCAAACACTTATTACGACGCCTAAAACATCTTATAAACTATTGTAGTTTTTAATACAATCTACATAAGTCTTATAAGACACTCTATTAATACACTTAATTAAACAATTTTGATCGTTACACTCAATTAATTTTGTTGTAGTAAACGGGTGAATTTAAATGACCTTCCATAAACCATTATAATATAACTTTTCTTTATATATATATATATATATATATATATATATATATATATCAAAACCAGATAATATTTACATTTTTACAGTACTGATTTAACTTAAACACATGATTTGTTAGCAAGAAACTATAAGGCTTCCCATGGCAGAATGATTTCACGCTAGTTATGGGTTAATGCATTTTTTAATGCTCTTTGTGTACATAATTGAAGAACATTCGTCCTTAAATACATGAATCATATGGTTTCACACCATATATATAATTTATTATGATCTTAATTAAGACGTTATAATAAGTCAAACGGTCTTGAATATATAAAACATACTCATTTTTTAAGAGTTATCTTAATTGGATTTATAATGTATGGTCTTGATTAGATTGACTTTAATACCCGTTAAAAGTGTCGTCGTCACATCTAGATGGTCAAAGATGCATATAATTTTATATAGGTAGCTTGAAAATATGTATAAGATTATACATGAAAATATATTATCGTTTTAAAATAATCACGCATGAGTTTTATAGGTATTCTATACGATCAAAAAATATTTATATATATTTAATTAAAAGATTGGAAAAGAAATGGAACTGTTGTTTTTGTTGTCATTTTCATGATTAGGCGGTGTTGATGTTGATTGATTTTAAGAGGTTTGAATATGATCGAGAACAATCAAATCAAAATGTATATATTTTTATTATTAGGTTTCTATCCTACAATACCTTTAAAAGAAAATTTATAAGTTAGGCACCGGGACTCCTATCTCTTCAATGTAACTGGCAATTTTTTGTCTATCTATACTATATTATAAAACATTTGACAAAAACTTTTAAAAACCATTTTTATGCATAAAGTACTGTTTCTTAATCCATATTACTTAAATTTTAAGATTACAAGTAAATTATGCGTAAGTTTATAACTAACTGCAGATAAACATAATCAAATACAAGATAAATATCTTATTTTAAATAAAAAATATTTAAAATATAATTAGGATAATCATTGAGTTTTAACATAATCATTATCTTTTTAAAAAATTATATTGTTAAATCAAAAAATATATTACTTCGCTATTAGACATAAACTTTTATAATAAAAAAATTGAAATAAAGAAACTGTACAAAAAAATAAGAACTTTTAAATAGTTAAATTTGATATTAATATCGATATATTTTTTCAAAATTTTATATCTTCAAATATATTTTTATTCAAAAGTAAAAACATTATTTTTATTAAAACTATACAAACCGTACTATATCAATAGAGACAAAAAATAAAACGAAACATTAAAGTGAAGATGTATCTCGTTGCTTTGTGCGAGTACCGTTCTAGTTATATTTGAAGGGTCCTATGAAATTAATTAAGATACATGTCAGATGATCTAAATACTTGCAGTTAAAAAGTTAACATACTGAATCATTGATGTATGTAGCTAGGCGTGTTCAAATAAGAATTACAAATACTCTGAGAACTGAGATACCACATACATATCATGTATTGATTATTTTTATGATTAATAATCGTAAATGGTAATGACACTACAACAAAAATGACCTTCATCGAATGTTTTGTTCTGTATTTAAAAGTGTTAAAAGCTTTTCTATTGGCTTTAGAGAAGCTTTTTATTTCCGTCAAAAAACTTCTATATATAAGGGTATGTAAAGGTTTTAGAAAGGACTTTTAAAAGGTGTGTTTTTGTTAGCTTTTAGAGACCTTTTTTTGGGGAATTTAAATACACTTTCAAAGTTTTTTTCTAAAGATTAGTCAACTTTTCTCAAAAGGCTTCTCTAAAAGTATTTATTTTGTTACATTTTTCAAGTATTTGTGACAGTTTATAAACATCTGTAAAAATATACTTTCAGATAAGATTTACGGAAAAAACTTCTCTAAAAGTATTGGCTTTAGTGACATTTTACCTAAACCCTCTCTAAAAATATCTTTTAGTTACACTTTCCAAACATGCTCTAAAGGTTTTTCTTTAGATACAAATAATCAAAACCTTCTCTAAACGTTATCTTTAGATACACTTTTAAAAAATCAATTTCTTCTCTAAAAAGCATATTATTATTATTATTATTATTATTATTATTATTATTATTTTCATCCATATTTCAGCTCTATATATTTATATATATTATGTAGTGAGAATATCATAACAATTATGAATATTTATCACAACATTCATCATGAATAATACATAAAATTAGTGGTTTTATAGTTTGCAAAATATTTACGGTTTTCATTTAAATTTACCTTTTGTATTCATTGACGTACATGATTGTAAATGTGAAATTAGTATTTTGTAAAAACCTAAATTTGAAATAATCTTTATAATTGAAGAATTGGGTTAACAAGAAATTACGTTAATTTAAGGTTTTAAAATATGATGGAATTCGCATTTATTGTAAAAATGTTTGTGGATAAATAATTATGAATTTTGAATAAAAAACAATTAATTAAAATTAAAAAAATGAAAGTAGGTTGTATTTTAAAACGCCTATC